TTTTATTTTTATTTTGTACCCCCTCCCCTTCTGATTGTTAGCCGCCCTGAGTCTTCCTGGAATAGGGCGGCATACAAACCAAATAAAACCTTAAATAAATAAAAAGTCAATGGAAATTTTCTATTAACCCATACCACAACTGAATATTTCACCTGTCTCCAGGATACCTTACCTAGATATCTGCTGGTTTCTTTTTTAGGGTGTGTCCTCTTTTGTTAGCCTAATAACTTTATAAGTGAAAGAACAGATCCTTTGTAGAGATTTTCTTACAAATTGCACATGCAATGCTTTACTTAAGGTCTGATACTATCTTAGTCTCTCTTATTCTGTGTTTACTGCTTATTTGTGTCAATTACTACATGTGTATGGCTGTGTACATATTACTAATGTCTAATATTCATACCAGATGAATCAATGAAAGATGAAGATATTTTCATTTATAGTTTATAGACTGTAATCTATTGTGCTGTTCCAATGCAAGTTGATAGATAAATCTTTTCCAATACTCCAGTTTAGAGGACAGAGAAAGTGGCCAGTCCAGAGTCACCTAGTTGGTTTGTGTGATTAAAAGAGAATTAGGTAGGTTTCCCCCTTTTCTAGTCCAGCACCTTAACTTCTACATTGCTCTCCCTCTTCCCATCACTCTCTCTAATGATGTAGAAAATGGACCTGCTATTAGACCACTACAACATCCTGAAATACACATTTAAAAGGTGACAGAATTAGCAGTGATGTAACATTAACTTGTTTGATTAGATAAGAACGACATTTCTCAGTGACTGGAAACCCTTTATGAACTTTTTTCTGAAAACCAACTTGTGATTTATGGGTTTGGATTTTCTTTGCATCGTTTTTTCTTTGAAAAAATTCTTCAATTAATATTATTATTATTTTTTAAAAACCATCCTGAAATACATGATATGGATGAGAGCAAACCCATGGGGCCACACATACCAAACTTTTCCCAGATTGGCTACTATTTTGGTGATTATCAAGATGTATTCATCTCCTGATGAACTCAGAAGAATCATTTGGTGGTATCTGGCAACTGGTATGACAACCTGAGCCCTAGGGAAATATCTTGAGTGGTGACTGTAAGCTTATCCAGTTGTACAACAGACAGCTTCTCTTAGCCAACATCAGCTGCATTTAGTCCAAAATCAGGCTGCTCCAAGATTCATGTTATGCTCCGTGCATACATATAGATACATATGGCTATCATACTAGAAAGAAACATTAATTAAAATCAGAAAAACAAGATCAATTTTTTTGCAAAGAATGAAGAATGTTAATTTATCACAGCTGAGAGATAATAGTTTCCATTATTAACAAGTTTCCTGCTACATTGATCTGAAGACATCAGATGGTAAAGATCTTCAGTCCAATTTAGTTTAGGATAGAACAAAAAGTCTATAAAACTAAATAGCTCTTGGTTTAGTTGGAATGTTTCTGTGTGCAAAGTTCTGGTCTCTGGCATAAATTATTCAAATCCAGAGTTTCTCGTGAATTCCAAACTAGGTAGTATCTTTATTCAAAAACAATATGCTATTAAATGTCTACTCTTGTTCTGACCCAGGCTTAACAGAATCACAAAACAGACTCCTTGTCCCGAAAAAAACAAACCCTTTTTATTTGGTTAATGTGAATTCCTGGCATTCACATCCAGAAAGGTCCCAGCAATAAGCCTTTCCAGGTTTAATTGCAAAAACAGACCTTATCAGTTCTTGGCTAGTTACCAGGCCAAGAGCTTCCAGTTACAATGCTGTAAAATGAAATACCTGGTAAGGAGTTACTGGAAGCACCAACTCAAATAAGCAATTCTTCACAATAATAAGCAAACTAATTGTCTCCTGCAACCCCCCCCTTTTTTTTGCATCTATTTATCCCCTATGGAAGGGGCCATTCAGCATCCACTTGTGCCTTTACTTCCGAGTCAAATCCCATTCTTAGTTGTTCCTTTCTCCTCACAGCTCTGCACATACATGCATCTGGAACAGGCTCCAGCTGTTATTCTGCCCCACTTACCTCCAACTCCAAAGGCAGCTGATAAATGTTGGATGGCCCTGGCCCCATCTCTGCCTTCAGTGCAGAACACCCATCAGAGCCTTCCCCAGACTCCAGGACTCACTCAAGTTCCTTCCCAATCTCCTCACTGTCTGAATTCCCTTAATGAGATTAAATATTCTTGTGATGGTCTGGGTGGCTATAAGCAGAGGCTAACAGGCTACATGATTTTACAGATGGGAACAGTTGAGAAGAAAATTTATAAGAGTCTTCAGTAGCTATATCAATTGCCTCTCAATTACAGCTCCACAACTCTCATGTTTTTATTATTTAGTTATTAACTGGAGGTTTTTTTTCCATGCATTGGCAAGATTCTCTGGATGATTTAAATTAAAAAATAAAATACAGTTATAATAGTATGATTTTGTAACATAGTTGAAATACGACTGTAAGTAACTCATATAGTACAGGTAAGGTTTAAGGTTGTGCTTAGAAGTTTGCTTTTGGTGACTCGGTGTGGTGTTTCCAAATAGCTGAACAATGGAATTTAATGAAATAAAGTCTTTTGTGGTTAGTGTCACAGATGCACCCCTCTCCAGATGTGATTTCAGAGGAGGAGGGTGAGTTTGAGTCTTTAGAAGAAAGTGTGGAGCCAGTATTGGTCAGGATTAAGGCTGAGAGAATGCTAGCCTGATAGAGCAATCTCAGGTGATCTAAGGACACATAGAGTAGAGAGAAGGCACAACATCGGTCAGCTAGACTACTTTTGAGAAGGCAACATCGCCTCTACTTAGCCCCATCCAGAGGACATTCCCAGTTCTGTGCCTTGTTTGCTTGTGCTGTGTTTCCTGGTCTGTTTGACTCCTGCCTGCTTTCCTGGACTTTGTGTGTGACCATTAGACTTGGTTACCCAGTGACTATTGCAGTATGGAGCTTGGAATCTGGACCCATGTTACAGGGGTGCTCTCCGAGGACCTGTTTATTGGGGGTTGAATAAACACCTGTAGAACTCTTGCTATACATGCCTATGTGTGTAGGGAGCCAGGCAACACACTGGGAGACTGTAAAACAGGGGTGACAACTATGGTCCCTTTATGATCTCTGGACTTCAGCTCCCAGAATTCCTGAGCCAGCATGTACTCAAAATTTCCATGTAGTCACCAGAGTTGAGTGTGAATCAAGGAAGCCATTTCCACAACATCATGCTGTTCTTTCCAATCTACATTTAGGAACTAAATCTGGATTCAGCACCTTAAATCAACCAATGTGATAAAGTGCCACACTGTCTCCTCAAAACTTTTTTAAATAAAACTTTAGCAGAACTTGGAAATGGAAATCTGTGAACTAGAATTTTATATGTTCACATCTTGTAGTTGGCATATTACTTCTTTTACAGATGCACTTAATAATTATGAAAAGGTCCATAGCAAATGGTTCACTACTTTCTCCATTTTGAGTTAGATCAAAAATGATCAGTTCTGAATCTGCTAGTTGTGATAGCATCCTTTGTTCAAAAGTATGACTAATTGCTTCTCTTGGTGCTGAGGACGGAAAACATTATATGGAATAGAAATGGTGAAATCCTTTCCTTTAATTTAAAACAGCAGATTTTGACTTTCAAATTTCTGATGTTTTAAGCATTTCCCCTCTATTAAAAGTATTCTTTCAAAAGGTCACCATTGGAGCAAGCTGATTTCATCATAGATGGAAAATAAGTTCTATCAAACTCATGTTAGTTTTTTTACAAATCTGAGTATATTCTCTTTGACTTCACTGTTTAGACGGTATGATAGAATCAAATAGTTTAAGCCCATTTTTAAATAATGTTTAGATTCAAAGGGTTCGGTTGATATGTTGGCTGTTTT